GTCCTCATTAGTTATCTGTTTTATACACAGAATCAGTAGTGTATATGCGTCAATCCCAATTTCCCAGCTCATCCCACTCCCCTCCTCCCGTGGTAATTAACAAACTTGGTAAGCTTGTTCTCTGCATCTGTGACTTGAATTCTGCCTTGCAAGTAAGTTCATCTCTACCATTTTTCTAGATTTCACTTGTAAGCAGTATTAGAGAACCTGCCTGTCAATGCAGGAGATGTAGGAGATGTGGGTTGGATCTCCGGGTTGGGAAGATCCCCTGGAGGAGGGCACGGCAGGCCACTCCAGCATTCTTGCCTGGAGAATCCCCATGGACAGAGGAGCCTGGTGGGCTGCAGTCCGTAGGGTCACAAAGAATCGAACATGACTGAGTGACTTTGAAAGCACATGCAGTGTTTGTGTTTCTCTTTCTGACTCTCTTTGCTCTGTATGACAACCTCTAGGTCTGTCCATGTCTCTGCGATAGTACAGTTCTGTTCCTTTACATGGCTGAGTAGGCCCGCTCCGGTGTTCTTGCCCGGAGAATCCCAGGGATGGGGGAGCCTGGTGGGCTGCCGTCTAACTCCAGTGTTCTTGCCTGGAGAATCCCAGGGATGGGAGAGCCTGGTGGGCTGCCGTCTAACTCCAGTGTTCTTGCCTGGAGAATCCCAGGGACGGGAGAGCCTGCTGGGCTGCGGTCTAACTCCAGTGTTCTTGCCTGGAGAGTCCCAGGGACGGGATAGCCTGCTGGGCTGCCATCTATGGGGTCGCACAGAGTTGGACACGACTGAAGTGACTTAGCAGCAGCAGCAGCAGCAGTATTCCATTGTATGTATGTACCACATCTTCTTTATCCGTTCCTCTGTTGATGAACATTTAGGTTGCTTCCATTTCCTGGCTATTGTAAATAGTGTTGCAATGAACATCAGGGTGCATATGTCCTTTAGAATTATGGTTTTCTCCAAGTATATGTCCAGGAGTGGTACTACTGGGTCATATAGTAGCTCTGTTGTTAGTTTTTTAAGGAACCTCCACACTGTTCTCCATGGTGGCTTTGTCAGCCTTAGTTCTTATGAACCAGAGAAGTCTGGCAGAGAACTTGGTAGAACCCAATTACCAGGGGAGATAACTTGAGACAGTCTTGTCGTTTCGGTGGGTTGGGGCTGAGATTAGGGCTGTAAGATGTGGGATTAATTCTGTGTCGCGTGGAGACAGTCTTCTGCCATCAGGCCTGTCTGGATCAGTGACCTCTTCATAGCTGTTTGGCTCTCATGTCATCAGCTTCAATCCTGATGTCCTTCTCTCCTTGTTCAGCGACCCCAGCTCCTTCTGTTCTCCTGCAGAGATTAACCTTGATGTGAAGTGGCCCGCATATCCTGCACTGCAGGCGGATTCTTTACCCGCTGAGCCGCTGGGGAAGCCAGCGGTCCTGGATAACCCCAGGCTTTGTGGGGAAGAGGGGATCATTTCTGGAGGCATAAGTAGCCCCAAGCTGTGTCTGTAGAAGCTACCAGGCTTCTCTTCCCCGTCGAGCCTTAGTCGTCTCTGCCTGTCTGTCTCCCTGGAGTTCCAGTTCTGACTCTAGGACCAGACAACGCTCTGCTGGGGAGCTGAGTTCAAGTCCTGGTAAATCAGTCCCTCTCTGAGCCCCAGGGTCCTCCTCCACAAAGGACATTCCTGAAGACAATGTGGGATGGACTTGAATCCCACTCTCTGGTTTCCCTTCACAGGCCCCCCAGGCGCTGAGTTGGCAGAGAAGCGCGAGGCAGTGTGCAGCTGCAGCTCCTTCTCCTTGCCCTTGGCTTCCGTAGCCGTGTTCCTGGGCCAGGCAGTGGGCCCTCTGGTCCTAGTGGAGGGGTCATGGCTGATGCTGTGCTGTGTCCCCAGCGGTCACCGTTGCAAGGCCCCCACCCTGGCGCCCACGTGCAGAGGGGCTCAATTGCTTTATCGATGCTGCATGTGGGGCCCACGGAACTCAGATGCTAAGTTCACAGGCCGCCCCTGCAACTCCTCCAAGCAGATTCCCATCGCTCTGCACCCTGTGGAGGAGGTGGCTTTGGTCCTGGAGACACTTCCTTCTGTTTTCACAAGATGGCATTGTTCCTGTTTCTTGCCTCTGTGATCCTTCAAAATGAAACCATATATATATATGTATTTCATTCAAAATGAAACCACATATATACATATTTTACATACATTTTAATAGATTCAATAGCTACACTCACTTGTTCATCGGGTCTTGTTGCTAGGTAACTTGCAGCTCTTCCTCGTTTTGACCTTCTGTTGGTAGCTCTTTCAGTCTCGTTTCATGAAGCAGAGAATTTTCTGCACTAGCTGATCGATACTGTTTTAAACAGTTGTCCTCATGTCTCCTTCAAGCACCTGTTCTCATGAGTTGGGTTGAATCAGCGTGGTGATGAAATTGCTTTAGATCCATTTTAAGAACTTCACAAGACTCTTCTCAAATGTCTTACAAAACAAATTGGTCTGTGGATCTTTTGGAAATGGGATCAGAAGTAGGCATGCCCTAGTCCTGCCTTGGGGTGGTCACCATGGTAACTAGCAGGAAGTGGGGACGGAGGGGGCTTGGAATCTACCCTGTTTATTTGGGGCATGCTTGAAGGAATGGAGAGGAAGGTCTGGGTCTGTGTTTTTAGGAATATCTGCGGGATCACAGCACACAGACTGAACTGAGGGCCTGTCTGTTCCTGCCCAAAGGCTTCACCCCAATTCCAGCCCTTTCTTTGATCCCACTGATACTCTTCCCATAGTGCACCCCCTTTACCTGCTGCCAGGTCAGGGCCAACTGCCTCTCAGCTCCTCTCCCACCCTCTCAGCCCCTGTCGCCCTCAGGACCACCTCCTCCTCTCCTCTCTTACTCTCTCCTGTGGGCTTTACTTTCCATGTGCCTCTCAGAGCGTTTGATCACTTCTGCCTTCATTTCCACTCTTCAGGGTGATGTTTTACTGTCCTGACCAAACGCTTCGCTCCTTAGGGACAGGAGCGGTACATGCCTTGGTTCCTTTGGCCCTGTCCTCTTTGGGCACCTGGCTCAGTGCTTTCAACACAGAGGTGCTCACCAGGCCACCCAGATCCATTCACTGCAGTCTTTTATTTTTTTTAATATTTATTTACTTATATTTATTTATTTGGCTGCACAGAGTCTCGGTTGTGGCACCTAGGATTTTTAGTTGAGGCATATGGGCTCTAGTTCCCTGACCAGGGATGGAAACTGGGCCCCCAACATTGGAAGTGCCGTCTTAGTCACTGGACCACCAGGGAAATTCCCTCACCACAGTGTCACTCCCCCTGTTTTGTTTGTATGTTCAGGTGAGACCTGTCTGCAGTCAGGCCCACCTGGCATCTGCTCCTGGCCTGGTGGGCAGGGTGTACAGAGTCCCGTGAATATAAGCAGTGTGTGAGGCAGCCTTGCCCAGGGCTCTTCCTTTCTTGCTGTCACTGTCACCCTCATCCTATGAGCACCTGTGAAACCCTAAATCCCACAGCAGACATGTGATGTCTTTTTAGACAGTTCTTTTACCCCACATGACAGCTTCGTCTCAGTGTCGTTGAACTGGGCTGGCTGTTACTCCCTGTCAAGCCTAGAGGTGATCATTTCGAGACAGAAACACCTTCCTGTCCCTTCTGTTCGTTTTTCATCTTAAACACATCACTGAGTGTCACTTTCAGAATTCCTGGCAGTGCTGGGTTTTTCTTAGCTGGCTCCGTTGTTAGAGAGCAGGTACACATATTCTGTTACTAGGCTGTAGAAAATGTGCTACTGGTAGAGCAGGGGCTTGTTCACAGTGTGATGGGATGTGGGTCTGTGGCATGGCTGTCTGCTTAGGGATACCAGGAATGGTGAGGAGGCTAGACGTGTTTCTCTTTGACGTGGGTCAAAGTAAACCATTTGTTCAGGTTGGTGGTAACTATTACGTTCAGTGTGTGTGTGGATATTTGTGCAAGCCTAGCATTTGTGGGTACACTTGGAAAGCATGTTTGGTTCACTTTGGACGCCTGAAGGGTCATGTCTTCATTCTTTATGCTTATTTAAAAAGATTAATACCCAGGTACATGCGAACAGTGGAAGCTTTGAGGACATATTTAGAGATGAGACTGAGGTGTCTGTGAAAGTCTGTTCCCACCCCACGCCCTGAGACAGAATCTTGCTAAGGTATCCAGAAGCTGCTCTAAGATGTGTTCAAAGCATGGAGGTTCCTTAAAAAAGGTAAAAATAGAACTGCCATATGACCCAGTAATCCCACTACTGGGTATGTACCCAGAGAAAACCATAATTCAAAAAGACATATACTCCCCAGTGTTCATTGCAGCACTATTTACAATAGCCAGGACATGGAAGCAAGCTAGATGTCCATTCACAGAGGAATGGATAAAGAAGATTGGTACATATATACAGTGGAATATTACTTAGTCATAAAAAGGAATGGAATTGGGTCATTTATAGAGATGTGGATGGATCTAGCTTGCATACAGAGTAGAGTCAGAAAAGCATATCATATATGTATGGAATGTATATTAACACATGTATGTGGAATCTAGAAAAATGAGCCTATTTGCAGGGCAGGAATAGAGATGCAAACATAGAAAATGGACGTGTGGGGAGGTGGGACGAATTGAGAGTAGGATTGACATATATACACTACACGTGTAAAACAGATAGCTCATGGGAAGCTGCTGCATTCCACAGGGAGCTCTTGGTGCTCTGTGATGACCTAGAGGGGTGGGATGGGGGATGGGTTGGGAGGGAGGTCCAAGAAGGAGGGGACATGTGTATACATGTGGCTGATTCACGTGGCTGTACAGCAGAAACTAACACAGCTTGTAAAGCAACTTTATACCCCACCGACACACACACAAGGCACTGAATGAGCCATCACGACTCCGTCTTCTGGTGACTTGGTGTTAGGCGTGTGCTGTTTTACCCCATTAGACAGTAGGCCCTGGTCTGATCCATCTCTCTTCCCCCACCCTGGTCTCGTGCTTTCGGGAAGAGAGAACCACAGTGAGATCGAGAGGCGGCGGCGGAACAAGATGACTCAGTACATCACCGAGCTCTCGGACATGGTCCCCACGTGCAGCGCGCTGGCCCGGAAGCCCGACAAGCTCACCATCCTGCGCATGGCCGTCTCTCACATGAAGTCCATGCGGGGCACCGGGAACAAGTCCACGGACGGCGCCTACAAGCCTTCGTTCCTGACAGAGCAGGTACCCCTTCACCCCTCGTCTGTGCTCCTTGCTCCCCTGGGAACCACATTCCTGGGAGGGCAGAGAACGGTGAGAAGGACAGCGTTCACCGAAAGGCTGAGGTGGGGACGAAGGCAGGAAATTTTATTTCTGCGCTTCACTGGGAAACTCTCTTCTGGGGACTGTCTTTCTGATTTTGCATCCTCTGCTTTTTCTCCCCACCATGTATCTTAATAAGACAGGCTACCCTGGTGGCTCAGTGGCAAAGAACCTGCCTGCCAGTGTAGGAGATGCAGGTTTGATCCCTCGGTTGGGAAGATCCCCTGGAGGAGGAAATGGCTACCCACTCCAGTATTCTTACCTGGAGAATCCCGTGTCAGTGGAGCCTAGCTGGCTACAGTCCATGGGATCGCAAAAGAGTCAGACACGACTGAGTGACTGAACAACAACCACCTTAATAAAACATCACTCAAAACAAAGCAAAAAGAGATATTGTGCTTAGCACATGCTAACCCAGGAAAAAGCCAGCAAACCCAGTTCTGTGCTAGACTAGCAGTGACGGTGTCATCATGATGAAAGTTTTGGTAGATGTCGCAGCAATCATAGTGACAGGATTTAACAGCCAGCACGTAGCCGGCCTCTGCCCTGAGCCCAGTTGAAGTCATGTCCTTTCTGTGTAGGATTTCACTGAATCCTTATTCTGCTCAAGGAGGAAGCTGCTGTTGTTCATCCCTGCTTTCGAGATGAAGAAGTGGAGGCTTCGAAAGTGTGTACTGCTCAGTGAAGACCAGGAGTTGACACAGGGTGGCAGACCCCAGAACCATGTATTTTAACAGCTATCCTGGTCTTTGCAGACTTTGGAACAGTGAACCCATGAGGTGGTCTGTGGGAAGTATTGATATATTGTAACTTGACCATTCCACGCCCTGGAAGGCCTGTGTTCTGGATCCTTGTTCTTCCCCGTTCTGATCAGATTGTCAGCTTGTATTCGCTCATCTGTGGACAAACATGAGCTTTCTGCCTTCCTGACCCTGAGGGCTTCTGCAGGATAAAGAGGACAATGGACTTGGTGCTGACAGGGGGAGAGGGAAGTGATGTGTTGTCAGGGACACAGGCAGGAAGAAGTGTTCAGGCTCATCAGGGGATGCCCCAGACAGAGTCAGCGCTGGCCTGCTGGGAGGGAGTCCCACATTTGCGTAGAAAGAGAGCAGAGGAAGGGGTTACATGGGGAGACTTGGGAAACCAGTGAAAACAGAGCCTTGGAGGAAGGGGTGAGAGGTGTGTCCAGAGACAGAATCGTGTGTTTTGCTGGAGTGAGGAATCTAAGCATTAGGTTTAGAAAAAGAGCAAGGAAAGAGGAGCTCACATGAATTCCTGTGCAGTAGACTTTTTAGTGAGGGTTTTTTTGTCATCCCAGTGCCCATATGCTCTTCACCCCAAGGTGTGAAGAGGTGTGGCAGTGGGGTGACCCTCGCTGGGAGCCATGGAACACAATAGTCCAGGGCAGAATGCCCAACCCATTTCCACCTCTGTAAAAGGGTTAGGGTTAACACAGCGATGGCTCCCACCTGGCAGGGTTGTGGAGACAGATAAGGGAGGAAGCAGAGTAGAGTGTTTAACACGGGGCTGGAGTGGAATGAAGGATGACTAGCTGGTGGATAGTGTGAAAGTAGTGTTGATCATTTAGTCATGTCGGACTCTCTGTGACCCCATGGACTATAGCCTGCCAGACTCCTCTGTCCATGGAATTATCCAGGAAAGAATGCTGGAGTGGGTTGCCATGCTCTCCTCCAGGGGATCTCCCCAACCCAGGGATTGAACCCAGGGTCTCCTGCATTGGCAGGAGGGTTCTTTACCATCTGAACCACCAGGGAAGCCTAGCTGGCAGGTCAGCAAACAGAAATGCATTATGCACGTCCTGACCGCTGGGGTTGGTAAAAGGCTTTTCCTCTACATTTCTTTAATCTTTATAAAAACCCTGTTGGGGTCCATATTTGACATTAATCTCTTTAAGTGACTGGGGATTAAAAATGTGGAGGGACTTTCCTGGTGGTCCAGTGGCTAAAGATTCTATGCTCCCAATGCAGGGGGCCCAGGTTTGATCCCTGGTCAGGGAACTAGATCCCACATGCCCTAAGAGTTTGCATGCTACAACTGAAGATCCCACATGCCATAACTAAGACCTGGTGTAGCCAAATTAATAAATATATTTTTTTAAATGCTGTTTAAAAAAGAAAGAAAATGGAGAGAAGAGATAGGCAGTTATGCATGTCATATGCATCCTCTCCCCCCATTCATCTCTCAGTTCCTTGGTAGGCTGTTGATAATGTCAACAGCCACATGTGTTAAGTACCTACTGTTCGTCAAGCCCTTACTAAGTCCTTCACATTCAAGATCTCATTTAAGCTCACAAAATTTCCCCCCCCGCCCCAAGAAAAAAGCATGAAAAAAAACAGAAGCCAAAGATATTACATCAGGAGTCCAGACTTGCACAGTGAAGTGGCAGAGCTGGAGCTGGTGGTCTCCTTTGACTCTACCACCTGTGGTTTTAGACCTTCGTATTGGCTTAACTGGGGGTAGGGGCAAGGCTCCTTCTGGATTCAGGGCACAGGACCTTGGCCATGAGTGGGGTGCTCCCAGCAGATGAAAACCCAAGGGGAGGATGTAGAAAGAGGGGCCCGTGAGGAGGGTGAGCTCTGGCCCATAAGCCCTTCCCACAGTCCCTAAAAAGGGCTGAAACTGTGAAAACATAAATGGAGTCAACTTGTCCACTTCCTCTCCTTCGGAGACACACAATTCTCTACTTTCCCAGACAACCTGTTTTATGTGTTACAGTCCTTCCTGTTGGGAAGACCATCTCAACACTGAAAATAAAACCGCTGACGCAGTCTTCTGAACTAAGTCATCATCAAGAGGGATGGCACAGCAGAAGTGCGAAGCAAGACAAAGGGGGAAAATAAACGTTTCTTTAAAAAATGATTGTATAGCCCACTTCCGCACCCAATTCCCAGGCAAAGGATGTTAGAGCTCTGACTCAGCCGAGGGCTCGGAGACCTCCCTGGGTTCTGCTCACCAGCTGACTCATATTTCCTAGTCTTTGAGCTTTTGGGCGCCCTCAGGTCGGGCACGGGGCGGGGCCGGATGCTCCAGGCTCCACACAGGTGGCCCTTACTCTGTTACAGCAGGGCTTCCACCTACAATTTTTGTTGGTTGTTTAGTCATTCAGTCATTTCTAACTCTTTGTGACCCCATGGACTCCTCTGTGTCTGCCCGTCTCCTCTGTCCTTGGGGATTCTCCAGGCAAGAATACTAGAGTGGGTTCCCATTTCCTACTCCAGGGTATCTTCCCAACCCAGGGATCGAACCGAACCCGAGTCTCCTGCTTTGGCAGGTGGATTCTTTACCACTTGAGCCACCAGGGACGCCCACCTGCAATTACACGGAAGCAAGGAATTTGGGGCTTCCCGGGTGGCTCCGCGGTGGAGAATCCGCCTGCCCATGCAGGAGATGTAAGAATTGTGGGTTCAGTCTGTGTACAGTCCATGGACAGAGGAGGCTAGCGGGCTACAATCCATGGGGACACAAAAGAGTCGGACACAATTTAGCAATTAAACAACAAAACAGCAAAGAATTCCCAGTAAGAACTGTTTGCCAACTGCTGATCGGAAGAATCCCTTTTTGCCTTGGGACCTGAGCAGTGTGTGAGGTGCATGGAGGGCCGGCTGTGGACTCCGGTGCACGTGGAAGAGTTGGTCCCCAAGTCCTGCAAGATCGGAGGCCCTTGCATTCAGCAGGAAAGGACCCCTGAGCCTGACATGAGACTGGCAGGGGAGACAGCTGCATCTGGGCTGCCTGCAGACCCTGCAAAGAGAAGGCATCTCATTTGAACAAAGTTGATCTTGCCAGCTCTGCATCCCTCTTGGGATGTTGAGGGCTTCCTGCTGCCTATTCATCCTTCCTGCCGGCACTGACAGTCATGAGCTCTGTGAGTCAGTGTGACTCCAGGGCTGGCACAGCTAAACTCTCTTCTCACCGCCAAGGGACACGGACAGTGTAGGTATCCCTGCCACTGCCTGGGATTCCCCTGGGACTCTGTTGAGATGTCGGTTGTCACAGAGTTCTGGGAGTTTGACAGACAAGACAATGTAAAGTGATGCCCTTATATCTGCTGCCAGCCTTCAGCTCAGCAAGGAAGAGAAGAGGAGTGAGAGCCCTGGCAGCATGGCAGGCAGTGGCTGGGGGGACTCCTGGGGCCTCTCCTTTTCTCCTCCCACTGTCCCGAGGTCCTCCCCTCCCTTCCCGGACCATCCTGTGCTCCAGTGACATGACTGAAGTTTGAATATTTAGGAGAGGCCATTCACACCTCTGTGACCCAATACCTTCTGATTCCCTTGGGCTGGGAATTCCCTCTTTCCTTAAGAGAGAGCAAGTTAAGGGACTTCCTTGGTGGTCCAGTGATAAAGACTTCACCTTCTAATGCAGGGGGTCTGAGTTTGATCCCTGGGCAGGGAGCTAAGATGCCACATACCTCATGGCCACATAAAAGCATATTGTAACAAATTCAGTGAAGACTTTAAAAATGGTCCACATTTTAAAAAAATCATAAAAAAGAGGACTAGTTAAAGACAGTTAACAGTGTTTGGAACAGCTGTTTCTTGGCACTTAGTATGAGCTTTCCAAACTTCTTTAAAAAAATAACTTATTCATTTATTTTTGGCTACACTGGGTCTTCATTGCTGAGTAGACTTTCTCTAGTTCTGAACAGCAGCGAGTCCTCTTCCTTGTGGTGTGAGGGCTTCTCATTGCAGTGGCTTCTCTTGTTATGGAGCACAGGCTCTAGGCGCATGGGCTTCAGAGTTATGGCGCACAAGTTTAGAGCTCCTTGGCATGTGAAACCTTCCTGGACCAGGGATTGAACCTGTGTCCCCTGCACTGAGAGGCAGCGTCTTATCCTCCGTACCACCAGGGAAGTCTGCTTTGTGCACTTTTAAAGCTCATTTTCCAGAAAAAAAAAAAAAGAGAGTTCCCAAAAGCATTTGTGTATCATAATGAGCTTCTGAATGAAAGTTGAAGGTTGCTGATGAGACTGTTTACTTGACCTGGGTTTGTCCGCGTCGGGTCCTCATGGTGATCTTCTCTTCCCAGGAACTGAAGCATCTCATCCTCGAAGCAGCTGATGGGTTTCTGTTTGTAGTGGCAGCTGAGACGGGCAGAGTGATTTACGTGTCCGACTCTGTCACCCCTGTGCTGAATCAACCGCAGTCAGAGTGGTTTGGGAGCACCCTCTATGAGCAGGTACATCCTGACGATGTGGAGAAGCTGAGAGAGCAGCTGTGCACCTCAGAAAACTCAATGACAGGTCAGTGTCGCTCTCTCCATGAAGCTTTCTCCCTAGAAAATCTTTCCTTAAACATACCGAGGAATAACACTGGAACAAATGTATTACCATATGTAAAATAGATAGCCTGTGGGAGTTTGATGTGTGACAAAGGGCACCCAAAGCTGGTGCTCTGTGACAACCTGGAGGAAAGGAGTGGGGAGGGAGGTGGGGGGGGGTGGGTAGAGAATAGACGGGACACAGGTATGCTTACAGCTGATTCACACTGATGTATGGCAGAAACTATCACGATATTATAAAGTAATTATCCTCCAGTTAAAATAAATAAATTTTAAAAATACCAGGAAGTTTGAGGTCAGAAAAAATTGCCTACAGATGAAGGACATGTTTGACTTACTTTGTTTAATAGCTTCATTTATCCTGTAACATGTTTGTTTTTTTTTTTAATTTTTTTCATTTATTTGTAGCATGTTAAAAATTCATTTTTAATGCATGATTTTTTCCTATATTTTACCTCCAATTATGGACTGTTACCACTTGGAGACATTGTTGACTCATTAGCCACAACCCACTCAAGTGTGTGATTATTTGTGAACCTAATCATAGGTGTTGATTTTCCAGGCCTTACTTACGGGAAGTGAAATTTCTTATTGAGACATTTAAATACAGTTAGCTCTGCTATACCATGAAATAATGTGTTATAAAAATCACTGCAAGAAACAAAATCATGAAATAAAAACCACAGGGCTTGGGAGGGAAAGTGGGCTAGACATGACACTAAAAATTTATCAGGGACAGATAAGAACAAAACTAGGAACCTAATAAAAATGGGAGCATGGCTTGACACATTAAGTGGTTAAGAAATTTATGGCACTTGACCTTGAAATCTAACTTGAAGTTAACTTGTGTAAGTGAGCCTCAGAACTTGGGTGTTGGTGTGAAAATGGTCCAAGGACCATCGTGTAAAATCAGGCAGAAATCAAGAACTGTAATATAATATGTAGATAGTTGTGGCTCATAACAGACGTGGTAAATCAAGGCAGCTTCTGTGTGCCAGACTGTGTATATTTTGTGAATTCCTGTGTGGCTGTATTCAGCTGGATGCAGTTTCTGTGTTCATGTAGTACTTTACAGATAAAATCAAGCATAAGCAAACACAAAATTCACATTCTGATCAAACTGTCACCCAATGTATCAGTGTCACTGGAGCAGAATTGCATTTTTAATTATTTTGTTTATTTATTGGGCTGTGTTGTGTCTTAGTTGCGGCATGCAGGTTCTTCATTGTGTCATGCGGAATCTTCTGTTGCAGTGCACAAACTCTCTAGTTATGGCTTGAAGTCTCAATATTTGCAGCACATAGGCTTAGTTGCTCTTTGGCCTGTGGGGTTTCAATTCCCTGACTAGGGAATGAACCCGTGTCCCCCTGCATTGCAAGGTGGACTCTTCACTGCTGGACCACCTGGGAAGTCCCAAGATTTGTTTTTTCAAAAAAAGCATTATAGTAGAGCTGAGTATACCATGATAGGGCTTCCCTGGTGGCTCAGATAGTAAAGAACCTGCCTGCAATCCAGGAGACCCGGGTTTGATCCCTGGGTCTGGAAGATACTCTGGAGAAGAGAATGGCCACCCACTCCAGTATTCTTACCTGGAGAATTCCATGGACAGCGGAGCCTGGCTCTAGTCCATGAGGTTGCAAAGAGTCAGATGTGATTGAGCAACTAACACTTCATACCATGATCCCTACATTCCGCATTATGACAGATCTGTTTGTGCATCATGTTCTTCCTACCACACCAAGAGCCACTGGAGTCTCATTTTCTTCTTTGTGTGCCTAAAGTACCTCACTGAGTGCTCGGCACACAGTAGGTGTTCAGCAGAAGCCTGGTAAGCAGTGAGGCAGTGCTTTTATACTGTAGTAGTCTGCTAGGGTTGAGCTAACAAAACACCACAGACTGGGTGGCTTAAACCACTGCCATTTATTTTCTCACAGTTTTGGAGGCTAGAAGTCCAAGATCAAGGTGTTAGGTTTGGTTTCTGGTAAGAGCTCTCTCCTGGGCTGCAGACAGCCACCTTCCCGCTCTGTGTTAGTGTTAGTTTCTCAGTTGTGTCTGACTCTCTGCAGCCCCATGGCCTAGAACCTGTCAGGCTCCTCTGTCTATGAGATTCTCCAGCAAGAATACTGGAGTGGGTTTCCATTCCCTTCTCCAAGGGATCTTCCCGACCCAAGGATCAAACCTGGGTCTCCTGCATTGGTGGGTGTTTTACCGTCAGAGCCACGGGGGAAGCCTCTCCCTCCAAAGGGCCCAAATCTCTGGATAGGAGTCCCATGTCCAATCTTCTCACCACTCAGGATGAGCTGGGTCTACACTATACTCCAATAAACCAAACTATACCCCAATAAAATTAATTTTTAAAATGTTTTTTAAAAGTGACAGGAGTACCGCTGCTTCTGAACAATAATAGTAATTTTGTCAGTGTTGGTTATCACTGACACACACAAAGAAGGAAGATAATGAAGGATTAAGGTGTGTGGACAGATTCTACGATGTGTGGGGATGAGCTCTCCGTATGTGTAAAACAACGGTGCTGAAAAAGACTCAGAGAAAGACATGGTCCGCCATTGCACAGCTGGGGCTGAATGAGAGAACTCCCTACAGACATCACTGGGGACACGCCTTGGGAAGTTAACGATCTTGGAAGGGATGTGAAAGGGAGAATACATCAGCCAGGAAGTGCTGGTTTGACAGCTGAAATCACCTTCCCTGAAAAGAGCTGTCTTTCTCCCCCCCCCCCCCCCCCCCCCCCGACTCCAGTATGTGAACACAGGATGTGGCTTATGAAAGCAGTCAGGAGACCCAGCTGGGGCAGTAAGTGGGTGGGGGAAGTGATGGTCAAAGTCAGGTCAGTCTGTGGACCAAGGGTTTAACAAACCGGCTCGCCAGAGTTGGGTGGACACTTCTGTCTGTGGGAAGTCTTAATGTGTATGGCAGTGTTGAAAGGGGCAGCGTGAACCACATTTGGAAAGAAAGGTCCCCGGAGTGAACGTTGGATGGTGGCCTTGGCAGCCAGAGCTGGTGTAGTGGAGTGAGTCCTCCAAGACGCCAGAGAAGAGCCAGTGAAGCCTGAGTGGTTGGGCTCCATGAGGTGGGGTGGAGAGGGTGGTGAAGAGGACTGGGTCTCTTCTGGAACCAGAGAGCGTGCAGTGCGAATCTCCCAGGACACACAACATAAAAGCACATTGATCCAGTGTAGGGAGCTTGGGATAGCTCACTGCAGCCAGGCTGCCGCTGGCCTCAGGGTTTTGCTGGACCAAAGACTGGACAGGAGCTGGGTTTCATAGCCAGCCAAAGTGCAGATGTAATGAAAACTAGTAATAAAAAACCACAGGGGCGATATGATGCCTTCAGTGATTGGACTAGAGTTTCTCAACCCTCCTGTCCTTAGGCATGGTGGGTTTCAGGCCTGGAGAGAGGTGACATGGCCCGTTGGATGGGGTGTCAGGGTGGGGGCAGGGTGTGGGGGCAAGGAGCCAGGCAAGGACTGCTGGGGTTGGGCTGGTTTACCCAGGGCAGCCTGGCACACTTGACCCAATGAAGTTTCCCTTCTCTGAGCCTCCCAGTCAGTAGAGAGTCCCTGTACCATACATAGGTTTTGCAGGGCAGCCTAGACTGAGCATGTGGGGCCTTGTGTGTGCATGGTGGCCGGGGGACAAGACGCCTAATGACAGTGGGGCCTGCAGACGCCCATGCTGACTTGAGGATCCCAGAAAAACAATGCTTGCCCAGAATTGCAGTCACTAGGGGTGGTGGTGATGAGGGAGTTCTGATGTGGAATTAAAATTTTCCCCTGGCTGGAGGAGTGATGACAGAGAGTAGGTCAGAAGATTCACAAAGTCTCCTTAGAATGGAAACCAGGCATCATGGAATTGTTCAGTTGCTAAGTGGTGTCGGACTCTTTGCGACCCCATGGACTGCAGCACTCCAGCCTTCCCTGTCCTCCAGTATCTTCTGGAGTTTGCTCAGATTCTTTGTCCATTGAATTGGTGATGCCATCCAATCATCTCATGGAGTGGTGTGGACCAGTGCAATGATGTGACTTGTCTGTGAATGAAAGCTGGGGTTTGTCAATGTGAGGAGGGCCTGGGGGAACCCTCACCTAGCAGGCGCAGCACTGCTCATAGAGAAAGTGCTGGGAGGGCCTTGGGAGCTGCTTGCTGGTTTGCAGTCTGCGATCTTGGCTGGTCCCTCTCTTCTCTGTTTCTTGTTCTCCTTATCTCAGCCTAGGCCATTGCTAGGCCCCTTCCAGCTCTGTTCTACCCTCTTGCCCAAGGCCCCGGTATAGAACCTAATCTACTGATTGGAGAAATGGTAGGAGGTTGGAGAAGAGGAGCTAAAAGCTGCCACCAGGTTCCTGGCTCAGGGCCACACCCGCAGGCCCCTCTGGGCCCCGTTCCCATGAACCCTGTGGGTTGTCACAGCCTGGTGGGCAGGGTGGCAACATTGGCCCTGGAAACCCAAGAGCTATGCAGAACACAGGACATCAAAAGTAAGTGGGGAAATGTTTTCAGATCTCTAAGAAAAAGTTAATTGAATCTTAGCTTTCCATGAAAATTAAAATTATATTTTAAGTATTATTTTTAAATATTGTTTTAAAAATGCTACACAGAGACATGCATCATGTAATAAGGGTGGAGTTTTCTCTCTCTGAACAGTTATATAAGTGGATTTTGAGTAGAAGGAAAAAGAGGTCAAGAAATGACTGAAACTGTGTGCATGCCAAGTCTCTCAGTCGTGTCTGACTCTTTGTGACCCTATGGACTACAGTCTGCCAGGTTCCTCTTTCCATGGGATTCTCCAGGAGAGGGTTGACATGACTTCCTCCAGAAGGTCTTCCTGAGTCAGGGATTGAACCTGCGTCTCATGTCTCCTGCATTGGCAGATGGGTTCTTTACCACTAGCATCACCTGGGAAACCTGACTGAAGCTATAAAGGAATTCTCAATGGCCAGTATCCAATAGA